AAGAAGCTTTGTGACGCATGCCAGGCACAGCTAGTACAATATTTTATATTCTTACAAATGAGGGGTAATCTTCCGCAAACCAGATATCGCTATTTGGAACTAAGGTGTAGTATTTTGTAACATAAAGTAATTTAGTTAAGAAATTAGTTATAAATAAATGCTAATCTGTTTCTAGAGTAATTATAATAACACAAAAAAGTTCCTCAGTGGCATGCTCTTTGTTTTTTGCATATTTTAATATTTTTTTTAATTTTTCTACTTTTCGATATAACGGTAGTTTGGTTTATTCGTTTCTAATCTAATTACTTTAAAATATATCTAATATTAGGCCTCCCCCAAGGAAAGCCACAAAGCACGATCCTGAGCCACCTGCGTCCATCGACTTCCTGCATGTCTTACCAGGTCGTCACTCCATCTCGTGGGGGGTCGCCCTACACTGCGCCTACCGGTACGAGGCTGCTACTCTAGAACCTTTCTTCCCCATCGGTTGTCGGTTCTTCGAGCTATATGGCCGGTCCACTGCCACTTCAGGTTACTAATCCGTTGGGCTATGTCGGTTACTGTGGTTCTACTGCGGACATCCTCATTTCTAAGTTTATCACGCAGAGAAACCCCGAGTATAGCCCTCTCCATAGCTCACTGAGCGACCTTCAGCTTCCTCATACGGCCAGCAGTGAAGGACCACGTGTCAGATCCGTAAGTAATCACTGGTAACACGCACTGGTTGTACAATTTCGTTTTAAGGCTTTGAGGTATGAGTTCATTTTTTTTTTCATTCGTTCATTCCTTGGGGGAGGCCTATGTTCAGCAGTGGACTTATGAAAGGCTGTAATGATGATGATGATGATGATATCTAATATTACATTACATTTTCCTTTATATTTTTATTGCCTCATAGAAGAGATGATTGCCATAGATGCATGCTTGGCAGTCGGGTTGGCAACCGCAGTTTTTATTTTTAATTGTTATAAGGAAGACGCTACTAGCCATCGCTTGGTTTGTTTCACACTGTCGCCGGTGTCGTCTTTTACGACACCTATGAGAGGATATGGGGAAGTGGATGTTCTTACACCGCCATTCTACGTTGACGGTATTTACACATTTCTTAAATATTTGCAACTGTCAAAAACTGCAATATTTATTGTTTTAAACATAATACTAACAACAGTGTAAATATATGTTTTAATTTCACTAACACAAAAAAGTATTCTAATAAATTTAACCGCAAAATCGTAGTTTTAAATGTGCGACTTGCAACAGCAATGTAATAGACAACATTAAAAATAAAAATAATAATTTAAAATTATAAATTTTATACATACGATTTCAATATAAGTTATTAAGAATAACTCAAAAACTACTAGTCTGACCTTGATCAAATTAATATGGGACCACAAGAGAAGTACCAGCTTTCAAATAAAAAAAGAATAATCGAAATCGGTTCACCCAGTAAAAAGTTATGAGGTAACACACATAAAAAAACATACAGTCGAATTGAGTACCGTCTCCTTTTTGGAAGTCGGCAGAAAATGAACAACATCGTAAGCACCGTGAAGTTATTACCTGAATAGCGCCCTTTCTCTCTCACACATATCACTGATGCTATTGCTTGCTTGCCTGTTCGCACGATAGCAGAACAACAGGAATGACAACAGCTAATTATATAGGAATGAGATAATTAGTTATATACATTGCGTAAGAATAATGCATTATCTATTATTGAAATAATGACTAACGCTTTTAATACTCTTATCAGATCCTTGTCCTGATTGGAACCTTTTTAAAGTAATCTAAAAAGTTGGAAGTAGTTAAAAGATACAATCACCAAAAAGTTTTCTCTTAACTTTTTGTGTTGCAATATGAGGATGAATACGTGAACTTTTAATCCATTTGGCAATCTCACCTGGAAGCTTTGAAGCACAGAATACCAGCGTAAAATAGCAGCATAACACTGCTGTGCTTCGTATGGTGAGTGTAGAGTACCGGAGACCCTTTTTACTGGAAAAGAAGCATTCCATGTTAGTCCTCACGGGTGACAACGCATCTGCATTTAGATTGGCAAACGAGGATAAATGTAGATGTCTATGGACCACAGCAACCACTTACCATCAGGTTGACTGTGTGCTCATTTGTCACCCTATCCTATAAAAAAGGAACTAACCTAAAGTGGTATATTTATATTATAATTTTTAAATCTAGCCACCGCAGAGTCTACTTCACCTGAGGATGCCACGTGTAGAGGGAAACACGTGTCGTATTATCGACGGTGGTGTGTCTTTCCTAGTGTAGTGGTGTTGGAAGTAGTGGTGCTGGGATTAGTGGTGACGGAAATAGTGCACGCAATTGCAAGAGAACAGGAGGCGGTCTTCAAACTAGGTAAGACACATCATTTTATTTTATTTCGTGAACCTCAGCACATTAATTTCTTAAAATCTTTAATATAATGGATTTCCGTAAACTAACAACTGATTCTACTAATAATCTATCTTGTTTTTTGATCTGATTGAACCTAAAATAACAACGTAAAATTTAACATGACTTTAAAGTTAAGGATTTTAAATAAGTATTATTCACACATTTTAGGAATGCAAACAAAAGTATTTATACAAAAAAATTTCAATAAAAATAAAAGTAATCTCAACTAAAGTAATTTATTAAATACATTTACAGGTAGTAAGTTTGGCATTTAAATAATATTTGAACATCAAAGTTAATTAGTTGTGTCTGTTCCGTACTTGGTTGTATATTTCATGAGCTGTTCCCGCCGCCGAAATCACGCCAAGTCCTTTTTTCTGAAAGAGAAATAAATTTGAGTAAAAGAAAAATAAGTTATAGATATATTTTTTATTCCAATATAGTTTGGTCTATTTAAATTAGTGGTACTTATTTATAAAATTTCTTAAATAAATATAGTAAAAAAAAATTATATTACTCATAATTTACGTTCTTCATTCACATTAGGTATGTAAATAAAAACGTAAACCAAAATCAAATAAATAAATAAAAAGAAATGTAAGACGAACAATTAAACAAAAACCTTACAATGGCATGACCTCCTTTCCTGATGGCGTTCACATTGACTTTCGGCGCCGCACTGTTACCGTGGACAAACATCGCGAGCAACGCCATCACCATCATAAGCAGAGCTGACAATTTCATTTTTTTTTAAATATTTATTATAATAACTCTACAATTATACTACAAGTCTTAGCTCTGAAAGCGTTGTTGAAGCTATGCTTAAACGTGTTTGAGTAGCGTATATATATTCCCTTGCAAAAATAAAGATTTTCCTGTTCAGGTTAAAGACGTAATCTCTAACCCAACTTTGGTTTTACCATCACAACAAAGTCTCTGACTAACAAAGGAAGATAGACGAATAGCTGCATACATGTCAAATGATGATGAAACCATGCTCAACTTTTTGATCAGCACTCATACTTTGATCTTTCTTCTTTCTTTCTTTATCAGTCCGTATCTTCGCTTCTGGATTCACACCACACATGCACTTAAATACATGTTATTATTTAAGATGCATACTTATGTGTACGTAGGTGCGTGATATTACGAGTATGTATATTCGACTAGTAATAATTCTATACGCAGTATGGCGTTCTTTAGAGTACCTAGATTGTTATCTTTTAATAATGAAATAAATGTTTTTTTTTAAAAACGTTACCCCCACTCGATGTTCGGAACTTCTTAACTCTTATGTTCGGAAGACCTTAGAGTCAATATTTTATTCCATATGTTCCTAAGTCAATAAACTTGTTCGTTTTTTAACCTTGAGAGCAAAAATGTTTTCTCGACACCGAACCAATTTTATGAACATCTGATTAAATTATCGTTCAATTAATTACCATAAAAAATAGCAATGGGGCTAAAGCGTACAATTAGGAACGGCTGGTTTTTAGATATTTCCTTCCTTCATGAAGTCAGATAGGGATGAGGTATGGTTGGCGCCTAGCAGCGGTTGCGTTCAATTCACTTGTACGCATCCTAAATCCTATCCTTGTAAAATTAGTTCAGTTTGAAATCATTTTAAGATTTGTTCTATTATTTTTCCACAATTTTTAATGTCCTTTTAACATACCAGCTGTCTTATCTGCTGTCAAGCTTTTCACTGATTTACTTACTTCATGTATGATCTAACTACCTCTTTCCTTTTCTTTCATGTATCGCATTCGTTTTGATTTTCAATGAGGACAGATATGTACAAACTAGCCATACTAAAATTCTTTCTTGAAAACGTTGCCAGCTCTCGTACAAGTTTCTGTTGCTTTCTTTTTTCAAAATTTATTAAACTTTCTTTGAATGAGAAGTTTTTTTTTTATTTTGAAATCCGATAACTGTTCTAAAACTGCGTGACGGATTTCAAGTATTTTGCATCTGTCCCAAAACCCAATTATTATATATTACAAAGTTAATAATACAATATTGGCATTCATTTATTTTTAGTAACGTTTGTTTTTTGTTTTACTTTAGAAAGACATGAAAAGATATGTTTTATATTATAATATTTAAATGTATCCAAAGCCTTAAAGGACAGCGAATATAACTTAGATTAATTAAAATATAGAAAATAATTGTTTGGGAAAGTAAATATTTCTTCATACAATTTCATAGTCTACCTTTGATACTGCAAAAAAAAAACTCCAGGTAAATGAACGATTAACTACATTATCATATTTTTATTCACGCGCTTACAACAGCATAAATTCCAAACAATAATGGTGAATTGTTTAGAATAGACAAAACAATATCTATAAATGCGCATATCGCTCAATAATCACTAAGAATGAATGACAATTATAATTGATCAGATCACGTGCCTGGTAAATACGTTAAAGAGTTATGATAAACCTATCACAAGCAAGTTCCCACAAAGTACTTCCAAATACTTCTTTACATTTTCCTTATTTCCAACTGAGTATAAAACCTCAATAAGGATGATTTCAGATCAATTATTGAATACACTGCGTAAGTAGCTACAAGACGTCGTAATGAAAATTACTTTGATTTTTGTCGTTTTAGCAATATGTTCCCAAACATCGACTATATTATGTAATGTGACTCCAGGTTTACCTCCCACAGTTTCAACTACAACACGCAAACCCTGGACACATAAATTAAAAGATGGATTGGTAGGTATTCGTAGTATCACATATTAAAGTTATTTTTTTGTTTCTTTTTTTTAATAGAACACGGCGTATCGTAAAATACTAACATAACATGGGAAGGAGTACAAGCTTGTGCAAAAATACATATTATGCTATTAGATAAGAGTAAAAAGCATAGAATTCTGTTATGAATACATTCTTGTTCTAATAAAATTATATTTAACTATAGTATCATCAATTAAATAATTAGAGTTTAATTATTTTTTTATTTTTTCCAGAATACGTTTTTCCAAGGTGCAGCAATAGTGGGAGCTGTACAAAATGGGATACAAAACAGTCGAAGTAACAAACATAAGCAAACACACGTCACACATAAGCCATAAAAATGAAATATGAATATTAAACCAAACTTAACATGTTTAAATAATACTGTTAAAATTAATGTATATAGAAAATTTTTTTATTAAAAGAGCAATGATAGCTAGATTATTAATTAAATAAATATGTTTTTTTTACTAATCAATTTCATTTGCCTAACCGGTTTTAATTGAAGTCTTGGATTGATTTTTGTATATCGCATATTATTATGCGATTTTATTTTTCATACGATATCAAAACTAGAAAAGTAAGCTGAAAATGATTTTCATTGTTTCATCATCATTATCACAAAATGTGCATTAATTACAGGCTATCAAAATCCCCTTTTTGGACATTTGCGATAGTTGCCAGCTTATTAGGAAGTTGCTGCTTCTTCTGCCCATCTCCTGTTTCAGTTTCCCTCTGTCGCCTCTTACAACACCCACAAGATGATTCAGACTTTCTTACGCCACCACGACACGGAAATAAATTTAATTAATAATAATGTTTCACCATTTATATGGTACTTATTAAATCGTGGAATAAAACAAAATCAAAATACAATGTAACTTGTACATAAAATAGGATTAATTAAAATGCACTTATTACTCGGCTTTAAATAAATAAACATAAAGGAGGAGAGCTTTTAAGCATGATTTAAGAATTTAAAAAAGTTCCAAAAAAGCAGGATTTAACTTTCCTGAAATAACGCCCTTTTGAAGTCCGCCGCCGGGGATCATTCCCTCCCCCTGCCGCATGCCCCCTCTGTGCTGCTCTAATTATTTCTACCGCAAAACCGCATATTCTGGGGGGGGGGGGCAAGATCAGCTATATTATGTTTGCAACACGAATGGGTTGGCTTGACCACGCTCTCAAAGAATACCAGCGTGAAATAACAGCTTAATGCTGCTGTGTTTCGTATGATGAGTGTAAGGAACCGGAGACCTCTATTATTGGAAACGAGGCATTCCATCTTAGGCCTCACGAGTGATAACGCATCTGCATTCTGATTCGTAGTCGAGGATTTTTTTTATAGAATAAGGGTTACAAATGAGCACACAGTCCACCTGATGGTAAGTGGATGCTGTGGTCCGTAGACATCTACATTTTATCCTCGATGGAGTATCAAATTGCAGATGCGTTGCCACTCCTGTGGATTAAGATGGAATGCCTCGTTTCCAAAAAAATCTCCGGTTCTCTACATTCACCATATGAAACACAATTCTGTATTAAGCTGTTATTTTACGCTGGTATTCTGTGAGAGCGTTGTCCTAACCCGTTCGAGCCGACCCATTCGTGCTACAACCATAATATAGCTGCAGCATGGCTCTACCATGTATACAAAAAAAATTTAGATAAATTTTACAGTAAAGCATTTCTGAAGATCGATATAGACGTCTACAAATACTTAAGTAACGTCCTCTTTTCTCCAGTATTGACAACTGGTGACTTAATATCCTTTAGGTAGTATGGTAAAATAATTAGAGTTTTTAGTTAAATATTTAATAAATATAAGGATATCGTATTCACTTCTATCTCACGCATCAACATTACTATTACAGAGTTTTTGCGAAAAGAAAAATCTGAAAATAGTCAATATTAAAAATATTTACTAAGGTGCCTATTAATTTTATTTTGAAAAAATAATTATTTCCAAGATTTTGTACAGCAAGGATTATACTGATATCACTAAGTTTTAATAGGCACTTTGTCTTACAGACGTTTAAAGAAAAAATTAATTACGTTACTACTTGTCACGTCCCACAAAACATAATACGTTACTCGCTAATAGGTGATGCAATTCAAATTTTTAATTTACTTCTATACATAAAGCAACACAGGCCACCGGCGTTTCCCCCCGATACAGAACTGTCAGTAATTTTTTGAGGGGGGAAATCTGCGCACACAAAAACGATCATCTGTCATTACGAAACTCACACATAAGAATTAAAACAACAAACTAACAGTTTCATACACACTTATGATACATTATAACAGTATCGCTCAGTGACAGCGACAACTCGGATACAGACTCGGATCAGTCCCTCGACCGATCTGCACATTATTATATTAAGGCGAGCGTCCTGTGTTGGTAAACAAATCCGAAACAACATGACCATTATTATGGTAATATGTAAGTTTAAAAAGAATTAAATAGTAATAATGTGATTAAAATTACTTATAAATGAAAAGTAGCGCATCTTTTTGTAAATTTGACTCTGACTCTTTTAGGCGTAGGCGAAGTTGATGGATACAGGTGGCTCAGGACTGTGCTTTGTGGCATTCCTTGGGAGAGGCCTATGTACAGCAGTAGACTTGTGAAAGCATGTAATGATGATAATGATGAGATCTCATTTTGCAGCAATAAACTTAACAATTCTGCATTTTGTAGGATGTCGTCAGTTGTCAACTAGTTTTATTGTACGTATAAGACCGCGTGGATTTACACTTTGGTAGAAGGGAATGCTTAGAGTATTTATAAGCAAGATCGCGTGTTAGTAAGTATGAACAGTAAGCACGGGTATGCACAGTCTTGAAACATTTACTTGAATTTAAAGCTACCATCGCTAAATGTGCAGTGCCAAGCTATGAAACGATTCACGAAAGCAAACTAAGAAGAACAATGATATTATTTTCATTGGTATGTAATATTTCGATAAGAAATTACTGTTTTAACAAACGCCCCGCACTTCGCGTTTTCCACGAATTACAGCTAGTGCTGTGCCACGTTGTACTCGAATATGTTTTAATTACATGCTTTATTACGTAATAATGATATAATTATAGTATTAAAAGTTAAGATCCTTTATATTTCTAACCTATTTGGACCAATGTCCAAAATAAAACGTTTGAATATTTACTTTCCAATATTTAAATATTAAAAATTCGTTCATTTTAGTTATTTAGGTGACGTAATGTCAATTGAAATGTTATTATGTTGAAATACGACTGAAAATAACATTTCGTCAGTATCGTCAAATAAAATTTTGTGAGAAATTCATATGCGCAAATAAAAAACACGACTACAAATTAAAATAAAGCTAATTTTTCTCACAAATAAACATAAGAATATAATTTATCCAAATTTGCGAGTTGTTATTACATTAATATATTATTATTAGATTAGACGTCTAAAAATAAACACCCCAGGAAGCGAGAGCTACCTATCTTCTTCAACTTTAAGGCTCCTTGAAAATAACATTTTGTCTTAATATTAATGGTGTATATTTAGGCTTTTAAAGTATCATTTATTTAAATTTATTTTATTTAGATGACTTGCCTAGGTATATTCAAAATAAAAATTTAAAAACTATATATTTCGTCACTAGCCTAAATTCATATCTCTATAAAATCAAAAACGGCTCCATCGATTTTGATGAAATTTTTTGTGTTTGTTAGAATAGAGATGGTTTAGATTCACATTTGGACCCGGTAGGTGGCGCTATTCTTGAAATCCAGAAATGGCCGTTGTGAAAACATAGCAAATCTGCTTAAAATTCTTTAATACTTAATAATAACAGCTTAACCATTATTTATACCACTAATAAGTATCACATTAATTAAAATGAATTCAGCTGGGTTTGTACCCTAGTTTATAATTTAAATATTGGCTTAATATATTTAAAATGTATGATTACTAAAGTAAAGCTGAACGAATTAGAACAATTGATAACTATGACAATAAACTCTTGATATGATAAAAAGTTACTTCCTTTGCAAACATAACTTTCCATTATAATGTACTCTGGTTCTTTAATCCGAACATTAAAGACTTAAAAATGGAACTAAGGATGTATTTCGAATAAGCGTCGGGCCTTCTGTCAGAAACTTCAAACAAGTAGGACTCATATTAGCACAAGAATAGATAACAGGTCATTTTTAGTAAATCAAACAAAGAATTAAGAAATAAATTTTTAATTGAGTACTTATATGTTACATTCAATATAAATAGTATACTAATTGCCCCATTATCCTCTTAGAAATTATAGGATCTAGGAGGTTTATGCTATATTGATCATCAGATCAGTTTTGTTAGAAAATGTGAGTTATAACTAGTATATCTTGATCTAGCCCCGGTTGTGGACTTGTTCATATATCTCGTGGCCGGTACCGATAGCGCCTATTGCCCCCAAGCCATGTTTCTGAAATATTTAAAAAATAATGACACAAAATATATCAAGAATCACATAATAGAAAAAATTCTATTGGACTATGAATCAAACACTACTATAAAGATATTAATATTTACTACGAGTAGTATCACGTCTGATTGAAATTTAAGCATTTTGCATGGAAAACTCATGCGAGAACGTTTTCTGTGTTTAACTGCCTAAACGGAAACATATCGCACACACGATATTTTTTGCTTGTATCTGGCACAATATCTTTCGAATGATACAAGTTTCATTCGCATCCTTTAATAAAATATATATTTTTTAAAGTACATTTTTAATGTACTCGAAATAATAAATAAGCAATTAAATATGTAAACAATGAAAACAAGCCAATTAACATGGCTTTAAATATTTGTTCAGAGTTTATACTTATTTGACAAACACGAATTTACGATAAAAATTTCGTATAATTAAAAAAAATTCTAGCTTTTGTAACATTATAACACTTACAATAACTTTCCCACCCTTTTTAATAGCGCCTCCTACGCCTTTAGGGCGTGCTTGCGTTCCACTCAACATAACACCCAAGACTGCTAGTACAAAAAGTGCGAATTTCAACAGCTGCATTGTGAATTGGATCTTGCTAAGCAGAGTCTTTACTTGTAAATGACAAGCTTTGTACTACTTTTATAATTAAGTTACAGCTGTATTTATAATGTTGTACGGTTGGTTAATCCCATCCGTGACACACACGCAAAACTCCAAGTTCTTCAAGTATAGCAATACATCTTTATCTTTGCGGTTTCTGTTTACTTTTCCTTGTCCACATCTAATGAATTGCGCGTAATGCAAACACGTGACATAAAATAATAAAATTCTAACGTCATACATTGTTTTCTATTGAATCGAAT